CAAATGTTGCAAAAAACAGCCTACAACAACGTTTGGCAAACGTTGCCGTATCTATCTACGGCAACGTTTGCCAAACGTTGCCGTAGGCTGTCTTTCGCAACATTTGTCTCTCTACGGCAACGTTTAAAAAACGTTGCCGTATCTCTCTACTCTACGATAACACCTAGATTTGCAACACATGCCCAAACGTTGCCGTATGCTGTTTTTGTTGTAGTGATATCGGCTTTCTTTCCTCCATCATGAAATGGGGTTGAGCGATGCACATTCCTCTACATCTTTCCTAGGTTAAATTAATATGCATTTAGTAGTTCTAAGAGTCATTTCAAAATTTTAAAAGTCATTGTTGACTATAAAAGAGTCTATGTACTTGGAAGAAAAGGAGTAGAACATTATTATCAAATAAAGTTTTATTTTTTTGGCTTCATAACTTTCTGGTTTTTCTTCTAGAATTCTGCCTTAAAGAAATATGGACTCCAATTGTGATTGGAGTATTAAATCTGTTTACGTCTAGTTGTATCAGAGATTGTTTAAGATCTATACTTAGTGCCAGATGGCTGGACTAGGTAACAATGCAGCTGTTGAAGGAGTTACCAGGGAAGAATTTCATAATCCACAGCAACAGATCACTCAGTTGTGCTCTAGATTATCAGTAGAGAAATGTGAGAAATTAGCCTCCTATTGGACAAAATCAGCAATTAAATCAGCAATTAGTTGATGAATCTTCAGATGAGGAAAGAGATGTAATTCCATTTTGAGGGCAGCATAGATTTAACCGTCCACATGATCAAGATTCATGCATCAAATCAGATGTCCCTGAATTTGGTGGAGAAGAAGAACCTAAGGAAGTACTGAATTGGTTGAATGAAGTAGAAAGAATATTTGAATTCCTTGAGTTTCCAGAAAATAAGAAGGTAAAGTTGGCGGCTATAAAACTGAAGGGCTATGCTTCTTCCAAGTAGCAACATTATTTGTTGCACTGAGAGTTTTTTTTATATTCAGACCGTGAAGCATTGAAGCATCTCAACAGTCAAAAGAAGTTGAATAAGAGGCATGCACTTTAGGTTGTATTTCTATAGCAGTTTACCTTTGTAGTCAAGCCAGCAACAAAACGGCAGATGGCACTTAGGCGAAGGGCCATGTTATTGACACTTTCAAGGATATGTATGCTACTGACCTTTTCTTTGGTCTTATTTGGAAAGATTGCAAAAATGGACTGCAAGAGAACTATTTGCTACATAGTGAGTTTCTATTTAAAGGCAATAAACTTTGTGTACCAAATTGTTCTTTAAAACAAAGAATCATTCAAGGTATGGATAGTGGAGGCTTGGGATGACACTTTGGGCAAGATAACACTTACATAATGATTGAGCAAAAGTTCTTTTGGCCAAGGATGATACGTAATGTTTATAGATTCATTGGCAAGCGTCAAGTATGCCAACAATCCAAAGGAAAAGTACAAAACACTGGTTTATATACACCATTGCGTGTACCATTAGCATCGTGTGAGGATGTAATTATGGACTTCGTGGTAGGATTACCTAGAAGCCAATGAGGGATGGATTCCATCGTTGTAGTCGTCGATCGATTATCAAAGATGGCTCATCTTATTAGCTGTTGGAAAACTAGTGATGCATCAAATTCGCTTCTTTTTATTTTCGAGAAATTGTGCGTTTGTATGGAGTTCACAAGTCTTTAGTATCAAATCGAGATTCAAAGTTCTCATCACATTTTTGGAGAACTTAATGGAAAAAAATAGGAACCAAATTGCAATATAGTAGTTCTTACCATCCTCAAACTGATGGAAAGTTGTTAGAGGAGTTTGGGAAACCGTGCGATGTTTGGTTGGGGAAATATCCAAAACAATCGGAATCGGTCATTGCACTAGCAGAATTCGCTTACAACTACTCCAAAAATAGAACTACTGAAAAAAAACCAATTTGAGATAGCCTATGGTAAGCAACCAGTGCACTTTTATGATCTAATCCCGACCAGAATTTGGAAAGACCAATGTAAAAGGAGAAGATATGGCTATGAAAATGAAGGAGCTGCAAGATTGTATTAAGTTAAAGATTGAAGAATCGAACTCCAAGTACAATGAATATGCAGATAAAAAGAGGAGAGATCAAAGTTTCAAAGAAGGTGATTTTTTTATGGTCTACCACGCAAAGAGTGGTTTCAAACACAAGCACATATTCCAAGCTAAGTAAAAGGAAAATTAGGCACTACAAAATCCTTAAGAAAATTGGGGATAATGCATACGAAATTGACCTGCCGCCACACTTGGGCATACATCTTACATTCAATATTTCTGATTTGTATTTTCATCATGGAGAAGATTCAGATGGTCCCTAAACTCGAGGGTTCTCTTACGGAGGAGGGAATGATGCTAAATTAAATAATATCTTAATTAAGGAGTTAAATATTTAATTAATGTCTTAGTCAAGGAGTCAAGAGACAGTCAACTCTTTGTTTAGTTTTAATTATGTTTTGAAGTTTGTATAGTCAAGAAAGTCTATTTGTCTTTCCTAGATTAAATTAATATGAATTTAGTAGTTCTAGAAGTCATTTCAAATGTCTAAAAGTCATTGTTTGACTATAAACGAGTCTATGTACTTGGAAGAAAAGGGGTAGAACATTATTATCAAATAAAGTATCCAGTTTTATTTTTCTGGCTTCATAACTTTCTGGTTTTTCTTCCAGAATTCTGCCTTAAAAAAAATTTGGACTCCAATGGTGATTAGAATATTCAATCTATTTACGTCATTGTTTCACCAACTTGATGTCAAATCAACATTTTTGAATGGAGAACTCAAAGAAGAGATATAAGTTGCACAAACTCAAGGTTTCATAATCGAAGGAGAAGAAGACAAAGTGTATAAACAAAGAAAGTCTATGTATGGGCTCAAACAAGCACCAATAGTCAGCCTTTTTGAATGGAGAACTCAAAGAAGAGTTGTATATTGAACAATCTCAATGCTTTGTCTCAAAAGATGAAGACAAGGTGTCCAAGTTAAAAAAGGCTTTGTAAGGGCTCAACAAGCAATGAGAGCTTTGTCAAATTGATGGCCATTTTCATAAACAATGATTTTGCAAGAGAAAAAGTGAGCCAACCTTGCTAGCGAATCATTAAGTTCAGTCCCATATTCTCATTTTTGCATATATCTTGACGACTTAGTGTTTACAGGAAACAATGAAAAATGATTAAAGAGTTAAAAATAGGTTTGATGAAAAGATATAAAATGAATGATTTGGGTCTGTTAAATCATTTTCTTGGCAAGGAGATATATAAAAATGAGAATGGGGTGATTATTTGTCAAAAGAAGTATGCTGAAAAATTCTAAAATATTTAGAATTTTTTGAGGGAAATCTATAGAAAGACCTCATGGATGTAATGGAAAATTACTTTTATCTCGCAGCAACAAGACTTGATATCATTTATACAATGAGTTTGCTTTCGAGATTCATGAATAATCCAAACCAAAAGCATTTTGGATTTGGAAAAGTAGTCTTGAGATATATAAAAGGAACATAGATGATAGATCCATGGAACAAGTGAAAATCCTTAAGATAATTTTTTCAGCTAGTTTATCAAGTCAGGTAAAAAAATAAAAAATAAAATAAAATTGGCCTAAACTTCAGTCTAGGCTGAAGTATCGTTGGACTGTATGGATCTTAATTGTTGCATATATTTTCTATTTTGCAACAAGTGAAAATCCTTATAATCTTCTTCTTCAACACTATAAAAAGAATACTACTACCAGTGGGCGTAGCTCTCTAGTTCCCTCCGTAAGATTAATATCACAACCAATAGGGTCCGAAGTTTCACATCTAAGTAATACCTGAATAGATAAAATGATATAGATATATTAAGCAACAGGCAGACTAAAACAGAAAGCATTTGAGGAAATGAACTATAGGAAGCCTTGGTGGGAAACCAGACGAGACAAAGAAGTCCGCAGAAGAGTGAAAGTGTCACCACTACTGAGGATCTCTCCTAGGTCATTTGAGGGTTCACCATGGTTATTTGTTGTGCTTCACTAGGCTACCCTTTTTCGAAAGCTCCACAGGCCATCTTTTTCATTTCGTAAGGTGATGGGTTCCTATACGAGTATGGAATGAAAGGAGTTTAGTTCTTGTGATGACCCGTATCCCTTCTATTTATAGATTCAAGGTCCTTAAAAAGGCATCATCGAAGCCTTATCGAAGTAAAAATAAAAAGCAATGACTTAGACCGGTAGAAGTTGAGTTTAAGGCAAACATACTAGAACCGCTCTTTTTTTATCAGAAACTTGTGATTTGGTTTTTATGCAGCAAGTAGCCATCGAATGTGGGGATAGCTAATTCAATGCAATGTTATATTCTGGCTATCCATTGAGTTTGTTCAATAAAATGCTCTACTTGGCATTTGCCTGGGTTGGTATCTTTAAATAAATATGCTTTTTCCATATAACTAGATCGAGAATGATAATTTTAAATTGTCTTTCTAAGAGAGCGTAATATTTTTCTTTAGGCAAGCAAAGAGAGGTTAAGCCCTTGAACTCGCCCATAGGTTCCTTTGTTGTTACATTTCATTATTCACCTTAGACTAATTCCTTGGGCTGAGCGTTCTTGGGGCATAAATCTGTATCACTCAATCATAAGCTGCTCTATCATTGTTTGATTTTTGGTTGTCTGGTCACTCTTTTGGTCGAACTTTCAACTTGAGAATTCGATTACACAACCAAGATGGGTGAGCACTAATTTCCAGACACTTCGAATTCCCCCATGAATAATTAGACATGTCTATGAGATTGATCCACCTATGAGATTGATCTGTTGCTTGATTTTTCTACATGCTCTGCTCCCAAAAAAGATGAAAGACTTGCACAAATTCAGGTTGGTTGGTCCAGAAAGTCATGGGAGAGATAGGCTAAGTGATATAATTTAATAAAGAATCTTATGCATCACGCACGATACAATTTCTATACGAAGTGGACAACTTAACTTACAGCACAACATGCTCATTGAGGTTGAACTTATGTTTCCTTTGTATATTTTTCTTCTTTCGTTTTGTTTATTATTTCTATTAGAACTAGGATTAAGGTTGAAACCATAATAAGTTGTGGTGGCTTTGTGTAATCGCATATAGAATAAGAATTGATTTGAATAAATCCCACCGTAACCAATAAATTTTAAACATCCGAGGATTTAATAATAAAAAAATTAAAAGAGACACGTAAGGGGACATATTAAAGAAAGATATAAATGATATATATGTGTGTCTTTATCTAACAAAAACTTTTAGGTGAAGTAGTTCAGCAACTCGCAAATTATATGATGTGTCTCACAGTACACATTTTAGGGGTTCGGTTGATTACTTTGTGTTCTTTTGGTTGTTCAGAAATAGGATAATGTGTTATTGCAAAAAACATTTAAACATGAGAATAACCGTGATTTTTCCATGGTTTTGGAGGCAAATATGTAACAATGGAGGGAAAGAATTAAAACTATATCTCATGAGCAAAAAGTGATTAAAGAAACAAAATTTCAATGAAATAAAAATTGAGTAAAGTAACTAATTTTTTTTTTTTTTTTTTAGATTGTGATTTTGTACACAAAGAAACTAATACATCAAGACTATGAAAGAGTTCAAGAAGCCTCAAGTAAATAAGAAAATTTTGGAAGCATTAAGAAGAGAGAAAATTTAATCTATTAAAACATCAAAGGAATTCCCAAGAACTAGGCCGTGCATGCATAGATAGAAAAAAAGGCAAAATATATAGACTAAGTGGATAAATTTTACCTCAAAAGTTCGGACATCATTGAGAAGTCGGAAAACTAAAGAAACATGCTTGCACATATTATGGTACTCTTCAGTTGACAATAGGTTCTCGGGTAATTTTGGTCCAAGAAAAAGGAGCGGTGGGAAAACACAAGCCTCACCAGCAATAGACATCCACGCATTAGACAGGTATTCCTCGACTGTTGGTATCGTGTTATTACTCCACCACTCCACTTCTTTCATGCTACTATTGAGAAAATCAAGCCACTACACTTGAAAATTTAGCTTATTATAAACTTATAAATACATAAGTTAAAGGATTTGTAATTAACTGCATTAAAAAGTCACACCTGCCTAATGAGAACTTGTTTAATACACAGGCCTTGCTTAACTAAAGCCTTGGCCGCCCACTCATTTAATTGGTGGTATAGTGCTGAGTAAAAAATTTTTACTACTTCAGAGCAGTAACCAGTTGTTGGCTGTTCATCCCACCTACACCATAGAAAATTCATTTAATCCTTCATAACAGCAACATTTTCGAAAACACCTGAGAATGAAAACAAAATGAAAACGTACTTTTTTACCAATTTGATCATGTTGATTAATTCCTCTTTAGATCCATAATGGTCAGACAAATCATCAATACAGGTTGAAAGAATAGCAGCTTTTGCACATGCAGTACGAGCCTCAGATACTTCAGTATCAAAAATAATACAAGCACTCAGAAAATAACATGAATGCATTAAATTCCTTCCCTTTGAGGCATCCAACCCGCTATCGGAGTACCACCTACATATGATTTTGATTTGTATAAGAATATAAATTCATAATGAATCTGGAAGATTTTCATCAAGCTATCCGGTAGTTACCTTTCCATTTGCTGAAGCTCTTTCCTTTGCTGAGCTTGGCAAATATTGAAATCTTGTCGCGAAAATAGAAGGAGGTCTGTGTTATCAATACTAGGGCACCTATAGCACAGAAAACAAATATGCAAAAATTAAAAGGCGAGAATTAGAGCGTTCAAGAAACAAACTATGAGACATGAAATGCAAAATAGGCATACCAATTGGAGCACTAATCTTACCAATACGCTGTTTTCAGAATTCGATAATTGTTACCGTCATATTGCTCAATGCTTCGCCTACTTTCAACTCTTTCCAGTGTGGCATTGAAAGTCTTCAAACTATATTCCACCTAATAATTCCAAAAAACGTTTTTTCTACTATTTATTTGTAGGCAGAATCTTGTCATTGCCAAAAAATAATTGTTAGTTTGTTTAGAGAGAGTTAATACAACTGCCTTTAGTTTTTACCTCCTTCCTTAATCTCTTGTCAACAACAGTATGATTTTGCAACTGTTGTTTCAGAAAAGTGCTCGTCCAAGCATGTATTTTCTCAAGAACATTTTCGTCTTCGAGTATTGTCACTTGTGAAGCTTTATAAAGTTCAAGAATCGTAGGTACCCCAGTGAATTGTACACTTACCATATCAAAGAAATGTTCATGTTCAATGTATGACGCCAATTCATCTAAATCACTAATATCAAATTAACTTGATTTTCATAAGCATAAAACTTTAAGATACTTAGGTACTTCCATAAATCAAACCTGAGGTTACTTCATATCCTTTCATTCGTAAAAGTCGAAATGCTATGGCACAACATGTAACGTCTGCAAAAATCTCCTCACTTTTCTGTTTCCAACACCTGTTTATCATTCAAGTCTAGGACATAAGCAATTAGGATATACAGTACATTATAATGGATATAAATTTTGAAAATTACCTATATATGTCATCAAGAACGTGTTTAATCTCATGTTTATAGTATCTGATGCAGGAGGGTCCGAGT